CAGGCAGCCAGCCAGCCAGGCAGGCAGGCAGGCAGGAAGGGCGGAGCACAGAGCACACCACCACTGTTGGACCAATGGCCAAAGGATGGAGGACAGAGGATGGAGGATGGAGGACAGAGGATGGAGGATGGAGGACGCAGGATGCAGGACGGAGGATGGAGGACAAAGGACGGAGGGATGGAACGGAGGACGGAGGGCGGAGGGCGGAGGGCGGAGGGCGGAGGACGGAGGGCAGAGGGCGGAAGACGGAGGACGGAGGACGGAGGACGGAAGATGAAGGCCAAAGATGAAGGCCAAAGATGAAGGGCGAAGGACGAAGTATGGCGTATGGAAGACAAAGGACGAAGCAAGGACGACTCGGAGGACAGAGGACGACGGACGGAGGATTGACGATGGAGAACGGAGGATGGAAGACGGAGGACCGAGCTCAGGGGACGGAGAAAGAGGAACCGAGGTCAGAGGACTAACTGCTTTCATCCATCGTAACCCCCGCTGTTGGAAACAGCGGGCCGACCCAAGTTTAAAATATGTTTTTTACTATTTGCTTCCATTATCTGAATATTGTGTTGCCTGGCAGAGAATCTCAATTTGGAAGTGTAAGGAACATTCCCTTTTTGTGGAATGATTGTCGTATCTTCCAGCAATATATCTCCGATGTCCAAGCGACAAGTAAGCACAGAAGACCCGCCAATTCATTCAATGTCAATGAATTATTGTGATCTATTCGCACCATCCACTCAGATATTCCGTGCATGGTTTTGCTTGAAAATAGGTTACACCCTAATTTTATGGTTGATCATGATCATATTCATTGACATTACTTGACCCTGTCAAAATGGCCATTGGGGGCGAAATACCCTATTCCCACACAGACCCATAGGGGATCGCGGTCGCATAACCTGAGGATCTGCAGGTCCCGGTCTTTTCGTTCACTTTTGGGATTGCGATTCTGACACCTGAATCCTGGCGGGTGGCGACAGTGTAAGCTCTGATGGCGGCACAGCACATTCCTGTGCGCCAAAGCGTGCTCCCACTGAGATGCCTAAGCCAAATCGGGGAACTCGCAATTTCTCCGGAAAACAAAAATTAAAGGACCGGATAACCCCACAAGTCAACTTGTTCCAATAATGTCAATAATCAGGAAAAGTGGTTGAAGCGGCACGGAGATAGAAGAAAGGACAAAGGAGATGGTTGTGTGTGAAAAAGTTGTGCGTGAAAAAGTTGTGTGTGAAAGAGTTGTGTGTGAAAGGTTGTGAGTGAAAGAGTTGTGCGTGAAAGATTGTGAGTGCAAGAGTTGTGTGTGAAAGATTGTCTGTGACAAAGTTGTGTGTGAAAGAGTTGTGTATGACAAAGTTGTTTGTGACAAAGCTGTGTGTGAAAGACTGTGTGTGTGTGACAAAGTTGCGTGTGAAAGATTGCGTGTGACAAAGTTGCGTGTGAAAGATGGTCTGGGACAAAGTTGTGTGGAAAGATGGTGTGTGACAAAGTTGCATGTGAAAGATGGTGTGTGACAAAGTTGTGTGTGTGTGAAAGATGGTGTGTGACAAAGTTGCATGTGAAAGATGGTGTGTGACAAAGTTGCGTGTGAAAGATGGTGTGTGACAAAGTTGTGTGTGAAAGATGGTGTGTGACAAAGTTGTGTGTGGAAGATGGTGTGTGACAAAGTTGCGTGTGAAAGATGGTGTGTGAAAAAGTTGCATGTGAAAGATGGTGTGTGACAAAGTTGCGTGTGAAAGATGGTGCGTGACAAAGTTGTGTGTGAAAGATGGTGTGTGACAAAGTTGTGTGTGAAAGATGGTGTGTGACAAAGTTGTGTGTGAAAGATGGTGTGTGACAAAGTTGTGTGTGTGTGAAAGATGGTGTGTGACAAAGTTGTGTGTGAAAGATGGTGTGTGACAAAGTTGTGTGTGTGAAAGATGGTGTTTGTGACCAAGTTGTGTGTGAAAGACGGTGTGTGTGTGACAAAGTTGTGTGTGAAAGATGGTGTGAGACAAAGTTGTGTGTGAAAGATGGTGTGTGACAAAGTTGTGTGTGAAAGATGGTGTGTGACAAAGTTGTGTGTAAAAGATGGTGTGTGTGGCAAAGTTGCGTGTGAAAGATGGTGTGTGACAAAGTTGTGTGTGTGGAAAGATGGTATGTGACAAAGTTGTGTGTGAAAGATGGTGTGAGACAAAGTTGTGTGTGAAAGATGGTGTGTGTGTGTGACAACGTTGTATGTGACAGGGAGGCGGCGGCGGGAGCGGGAGGAGGAGCGGGATACAGAATCAAAAACAAGAACCCCACACACAAAGATGTGGGGAAAAACAATCCAGCACTTTAGGGGGTCGCGGATGTGTGGTGTTCTATCCCAAATGACAACGGATCTGATCGCTTCTTTGAAGTCCCCCGATTTGGGTCGACAACTTCAGTCGTCCTGGAGCTTTCCAATGACGGTGACTGTGAGACGCGCTCCGGATCGCGGAGTGCTAGGATGCCATGAAGGTCACAGATCTCTGGGGAAATCACTCTCCAATTTGCATAAACCCAGACGTGAACCACAAACAATATCGTACTTCCAGCAACAGTATCACAAACAATCACAAACAGTAAGAGACCACATCTTTATCTTGGGTATAGTCTGGAGAGCCGTTGGGATAGGATGCCTGGCACCCTAAAAGTTGAATAGTCGAGGGCACAAAAACAATTGTTCGCGCACTCTTCCCTCGTTCTGATCAGGTCATAATCAAGTTACATAATTAGTTTTCCAATGGTCGTGGTGGGTACTCTTGGATACCCTGCCAAAATATGTTTCATTCATGTTCCCCCATCTATGCAGTCGAAATCCATGTTTGGGGGGTCAAACCAAGGTGAATCTATGGAATCCCCAATTCTGCCCCATTGCCATGGTGTTCCCACGATTTTCCTGTTCTTCATAGTACAATCCCCTGACCGGCAGGCATCCTGGCAGCAGGTTGAGCGTAGACTGCAGGCAAACTGACGCACCAGGAGAATGAAACCAGCGGCCAAAACGACTAACAGAGGTCCATGCGCGCCAAAATATGGTTTTATGGTTTATGCCTAGAGTTTATGCTCATCCATCCCATAGTGGGAACCCAACAGTCCTTATGGATATATAATGATATATATATATATATATATTATATTATATTATATTATATTATATTGTATTATATTATATTATATTGTATTGTATTATATTATATTGTATTGTATTGTATTATATTATATTATATTGTATTGTATTATATTATATTATATTCTGTTATATTATGTTATATTATATTATATTATATTAAATAATTTAATATAATATGAATATTAAAATAAAATATAATATCATATAATATCATATAATATCATATAATATCATATAATATCATATAATATAATATAATATGAACATTATAATATAATATGGATATTATAATATAATATAAAAAAATATAATATAGTATATAATATATAATATATAATATATAATATATAATATATAATATATAATATATAATATATAATATAAAATAATATAATATCGTATAATATAATATCGTAGAATATAATATCGTATATAATATAATATAATAGGATATGATATAATACAATGTAATTTGATATGATATAATATAATATAATATATCATATATAATATTGGTAATATATATATATATATATTATAATATGTATATATAATATAGAATAATATATATACTAATATATATATATATAATATATAAAATTACTGCATTGATGACCATTCCCCAATATTGCTGAATCCAACTTTCCACCATGGCACACGCGGATTCATCATTTCATGATTTATCAAAAAAAGATTGGTACCTCCAGCTCCAGTCAATGATCATCGTGTGTTTCGCACTCAAAGGGCAGCTTTGGGGTATACGGTATACCCCAGTCTTAGTCGTAGACAAACCAAAAGGTGGCAATGATTGGTACTGGTTCAAGTCACAACAAGCTGGTCATTTTGAGGCTATACAAGTAGGGTTAACAACAACATTCATGGCAACCATGACTTCCACATGGGTGCAATGTCAATATGGACACAGGGTATTCGTGTTTTGATCCATGGTCATCTCAATTTCCTGGGAATCTTCAGCTTGCATCACTTGATCTCTCTCAAAGGCCCCGGAGAGGGGAAATGGATCGTGAACGTGCACGCAACCACCGGGGAATGGAGCGCCCGTGTCGGCCGCACTTTCCAGTTCTTCTATGCAGACTGTCTGCTTGGCTTTGGGTGACACCATACCACTGAATGTACACCAAGTCGGGCGAACGGCACTGAGCAGTGTTTAAAAAGCCAGTCAACGGTACGGTGCGGAGAGTGGACGAGTGGACCACTGCGCATTGCGCCAAATCTTTGCGAGCATCATGCATCATGGGTAAAATCATGTTCTCTCAACATAAAAGCCATATGGGGTAAGCCAGCGACTAATAAACCCCTGGTTTATGTATTATTATTCCGGCCACCTTAGCAGCAAATCATCACTTCCTGGCGGTTAACCCCCAATCCGGGGTTGACATTGTAGAAACCCATCTGAGCCAGCGACAATGGAGGTGACAAAGGCCGGGTCTCCCATTTGGGGTTTGGGTTGTCTGATCTCTTGTTACCATTGTTCAATTCAATGCTTCGGTTCTTGAGATAATGTTTAAATTAAAGAAAACCATGGTTGTTAAACAGGGTAAAAACCTGGAGATATTCCTTCGGGCAAGTCTGGCAATTGTATTTCACGTGCGTCCCTTTGCGCCAGGAGAATGGTTGGCAACGCGGTATATTTGCAATTTGTCGCATTTAAAGCGCCACACCGCTGGGCAGCATCGATGAATTACCTCCTGGTGAAAACATACGCCATATGCATTTGTATGTGTAATCTTGTTCAACTTGAGTTCAATGGTTGCCAGCTTTGCTCACCAGAGGGTCTCCTTCAATCTTGGCCCTATTTCTCTTCTATCAAGATGGGCCATCGATGGGCTTGAAGCAATTGCGAAACTCAAAAAGGAATCGGATCTATGTACGAAAGTTTTGGACGCACTTGGCACTTGGATCCCAGATTCCTCCGATGCCGTCTACGGCATCGCCAAACATCTATGCATGACAGGGGCGTCAGAATCAAACACGGGGACATGTTTAGAGTACAGTGTACTGAAACTATGCAGTAAAAATTCATGTGGGGAAAAAGTACGATGAGTACTATGACTAATACTATGACTAATACTATGACTAATACTATGACTAATACTATGACAGCTCACAGTCGAGGGTCAAATGTTCCACTCGCTGCCAATTTCAATGACTTGAAGGGCCGGAAAACTTATAGTTTGCGTCAAATGAATTCATTGATGTCCATCCGGACATAAGAACGCACTCGACTAGCTGGCTCAGACCTGAAAAATGTCGAAAGATGTCGAAAGGAAAGTTGAGGTCCCGATTTGCCTTTTCAATCACCGGTATATGATGTAATAGATGATGTTGCCCTATAGAATGTTGAGAGGTTGTTGCTAGAATTCCAACGACTATATAGGAAGAAAAACACTTGACAGCCTCGACCATTTTCGTTTGGTTTCTAAAGCTTTCAGAGACCAGGGAGTTCTTTCTGTTTTGTCGGTTACTAGTCAATCTATAACTTTGCAAAACTCATTGTCACATGTCCAACTCATACTCCGGCTATGTCACAACATGAGATCTTTGCCCCAAGTTCAGACCTGAACTTTGATTAACGTTGGCTGGTTTCCATGGTGCCGTCATTGAAGTTCACCAAAGGGTGTTTCGCAGCGCCCGCAGCGCCCAACGCATGCGGGGCGAGCCGCAAAAAGAGCAGGGTGCGGCTCTACGCCTGAAAGCTCCGGGGCCATGATTTCGAGTTCTCCATTGCCATGATCACCGAAAGGGAAGCCTTTGGAAAAACAAATGCACTTTTTCACATTCATCTGTGTGTATATATATATCATGTATTCACGTATATTCAAATATAACATTCACAAATATATATATATATATAATTATATATAATTATATATATATATATGTAGTCTATATATTTTAATATATGTATAATTATGTATATATCACATTGACCATCCTTGACCAATTTTCATCTAGGGATATGAGTTTTGTTGTTGGGGGATGATCCGTCCAAACGCTTGGAATCACTTGATTTCTACCGTCGCCAATTTATTGGTGGGTTTCAGTCAACTCCCGATGGCAAATTCACACCCAGAAGTGATAGAAATGCGGTGAGAACATATCTTGTTCGAGAATAAGGGGCAGTTGTCGATTCGGGGCAGTTATGCACTTGGAAACTGAGTGATACACCTCACGCCGCTCAATGTACATCTTGTGTGCCAGGTGCTGTGGAAACCCCAAACCAGACCACGCCTCTGAAATCACATCACGATATATCACGGGCTTTTTTTGCAAAAACAAAAACAGGTCAACTCTGAACTAAGTCAATTATGGAAAAGCCAGCGGCGCCATGGTAACATACCCAGAGATTTAAAGATCCACCGATGCTGGCTGCAGGGCCCGCATGCAGCACGAGTCGCCCAGGTCACCACCGCATCATGTTGTCCTTCCTTGGCCCAGAGACTTGGCTGATCAAATTTGAGTCCTAACCATTGACTTATGTTTTGAGTTCAGGACAGACCCTTTTTCATCATTGTCACCATTGTCCTTCCTTTTTGATGAGTTTGACCTTTCCAATTCTGACCGGTGAGCCGGAAGGAGTTGGATTTCACTTGGCTCTTGGATGCCAGGACTGCACTTTTCTGGTGGTTTTTTCCCAGATTCAGCTTCCCATCCGAAATCCGCCCCAGAGAGTCCAAGGTGCTTTGTTTCTGTCACGGTGGTCGGCGCTGCACCATTCACCTCCCTGGCTTGTGCACCGCAATGCCCCGGCATCGCGATCACAGTGCCCTGCTGCTGCTGCTGCTGTTGCTGCTGCTGCATAGGCATAGGCATAGGCTGCATCCCTTGCATCTGCGCGACCTGCGCGACGCCGACGTTGTTGCCCACGTTGCTGATGCTAGCAGGGCTACCTGCCGATGCTGATGGCCAACTCAAAAATTGGCTAGATGGTTATGGCATGTTATGGTTCAAAAGCCTGGTACCCTCAAATTGAGCTGGTGGGTAACTTGACCCCCAGATCTGTCGGCGCACCTGGACCATCAGATCCCATTGCCTGCTGAGCCTGTTGAGGCATTACCATGACCTCACCGATGGCCAGCCAGTGGCGGGGTGTCCTAAAATGCTGCTACCCCTGATAGCTGGATGTTTGATTTCATGGAAAATCCATCTATAAATGGATGATTTAGGGGTATGCATGTATAATATATATATATATGTATAGAGAGAGAGAGAGCGAGTGTGTGTGTGTGTATATATATATATATATACGATTATATACAGCATGCAGATTTATGCAGAATACCAACGTGGACTATGCAACGAAAAGATGATGCAACCAACCAGAAGGTGACAATTGTGGGATGTCCGGCGCCAGGTCCAGCTATTCAGGTTTCCCCATAGTGATTACATGTGATTGCAATGTCCATCCCTTGAATGGGTTGACAATCAATGACATTTCTATTTCTTCACATGTCTCCCATCTATTCAGTCGACACTTGAATCATCAACAGCTCATTTGGACAAATTATGAAACAGTTCACAAACCTGAAAAGTGAAGTTTTCATATGATGATGATGATGATGATGATGATGATGATGATGATGATGACGACGACGATGATGATGACGATGACGATGACGATGGCGATGGCGATGGCGATGATGATGATTCTGATGATTCTGATGATTCTGATGATGATTTCCCGCCATCAATACAGGATTTATGTGGCTGAACTATCATAATTCACCGATCTGAAAGAAGATTGCAACTTTGAGGAGCTTCCCCGGTATGGGCTGGGCTTGTCTGAAAATAGCGTACCCCATGGCGCCTCATGGTCGAGTTTTTATCATGTCCCTCATGGTTCAACATTGTTCAGCCATGAAATGGGCTATTTTCAAACGATCCCATCGATGTGTTTGTCGCAAAACTGGCACCATTTTAATTTTGGATGGGAAAAGACAACGTTCAAATCCATTGGGAATGGGGGATACCCAAGCCCCATGTTCAAATAAATCCATGTGGGGAAGGCTCAAAATCAAAATCGCTCCTTTATATATTGCTGTAAGACTAAGAATGACCGATGTCTTGAATGTCTTGGCCCTCACCCTTATAACTTGAACCCTGCCCATGTGATGGTCTTGGACAATCTCTGGATACTCAACGGGCGCTGAACATCCCCCAATCTATACTCATTGTTGATGAAATCCCCACTTATTGTTTGTTCCCCATTGGTTTCCCATTCATGTCACTAATTTGTGTTTGTAAAAAAAACATGTTTCCCCAATTACAATTCTTATGGGGAAATTATCAAAATTAAAAGCGGGAAAGTTGGGCCATTTGGGGACAGCACTGAGGACGCCACTGGCACAGGCACTGGCACCACGATAGCCTGGAGGTTAAGAAAATAGACAAATCATTTGGTGTTTACTGCCTGGACGTGCAACAAAAATGTTATGTGGTAGCCAGATCTAGAAATGATCTTGACATATCTTGACCATGACCACGGCATCTGGGCACCCAGACCATGGCCGGAACATTGGCCACATTCCCCACGTTGGCGACATTTGCCACGTTGGCTACGTTGGCCACATTGGCCACGTTTGCCACGTTGTACCCACCCATCATTTGCATCTGCTGGGCCGGGACTCCTGTCAAAGGTGCCACATATTGAAAGAGCTTCTGAACACTGAAATGGTTGTCTGCAGAGACGAAAACATAAACAGCAATCAAATTGATCCCAACAGAATCACACCATTCAAAGGGAGGTTGGGGTCAAAACTTTTTGCTCAACAAAAATTCACTCACCCATCTCTATCCATCTCTATCCATCTCTTCGGTATCTTAGTTGCTATGAAATTTCTCACCAAGCTACCCAGTCCCCAAGTCAGACCTTGAACGAAGTTGTTCTGAGCCACGGGCGCCATACCTGGCCCAGAAACCAGGCTTTACTAGGGGATAAAACATGATAAAACCACATACAACTTGGGACCACAAAGACTTTTTGGGCGCTTCATGTGGGGATAGGATTTCTTCGGGTTTTTTGAGTGACATCCTCACTTGCACCTTGTCCTGGCATATTTGGCTGGCACCTCGGAGGGAGATCAAGTCACCCATGGCCATGGTATGGCTGAAACATCAGAAAATTATGAATTTGGAAACAACCGGATTTCTGGGGCCCCAAAAATATAGGGACAACCCCAAGTCGCTTTGAGATCCTGCTGTCAAGTCGGTGACAAATTATTACACTACCATAGTGCACCCTTGTGGATTCGTTCCCAAGTTCCGCTCGAACATTGAATATTGAATAGACATGAATAGACCATCTGGCTTTGTACTACCCTCTGTTTTTTATTCCTAGGGCCCCTTTTTTTGTTTTGCGTTGCCGGTGATTCGATACCAATCATTGTCAAGGATCATCCCAGCAGTATCCCACAGTTACCCAGCAGTCCATATCATCCCATACAAATACAGGCTAACTATGGGATATAGATGGATGAGTTCCCACAAGTTTATCCATGATGATTTTCGTGCCTCCAATTTAGGATCCTGAAATGGCCATTGAATAGGTGGATGCTTTGTAAACCAAGGTACGGGGATTGAGCTCCGTGCGCCACAGCCACGAGCCTCAGTCAACTCACTGAGTTTGCTTTGCGCCATGGGAAACGGCCTAGTTCAACGAGCATTTGGGGGTTACCCTCTGGTAAACTAACATAGCTATGGAAATTACCATTTTTAATGGGTAAATCAGCTATTTCTATGGCCATTTTCAATAGCAAACTGTTAAATTACCAGAGGGTATACCACCAAAAATGGTGATCTTGGGATGATTCTATGGAACAAGTCCCATTTAAATAATCATTTGCCTACTGAGAATGGTGATTTTTGACAGCTATGTTAAATTGCCATGGGGAACCAAAAATTGTGAGCTGATTTGTCTCAGAATTGGGGATGCCTCATTTTCTCTATTCGATAGACCAACCCAAAATATAGGGGTTGTGATGAATGCAATGTATATACATATGTATGTATCTGTATCTATATATATATATATGATACCCCTTTGAATTCGGTCCCTGACCCGGTTGTCTGGATTCTTTAGTGGGACGCCCTGTGGCACAAGGCAAGATCTCTAAAGAATAGGAACCCTTAGCTGCAGGCACATGGAAGAGTGCCTAAAGAATCAGAACCAGGTGCCACCAAAATTTATGAAACCTAAAGAATCAGGACCAGGAACACCCCTCGACATAGCCAAACAATTGCCTAAAGAATCAGAACACCCGGGTTGGAGTTATAGACAGACATCCCCCCTCTAACCTGAAATTTTGAAGTGCAAATTGAATCAGCCGGATGTACGTTTGTCAGGGAAACTGAATCGCTCGGTGAATCATGACTCCGGCATCCCACATCAAAGCCATACACAAAGTGTGAGGAACGGTATATGGGTTCTACAATAAATGGAAAAGGATGCCTCCAGGGATCTGTTCACAATCTCTCCATCGACCCATTGATTCAAGCATGATCTGAGTGGGTTTGGGTCTTCTCAAGCCAAACCACAGATGGACTGGGTATCTTTCATAGTGAAGTCTTATGTTTTGTTGCTCAAATCACCAACTTTTCATGGTTAAAAATCCCGGTGACTAAAAAACATCGTGTCAAGATTGTCACCCCTGGTTTGTTTATTGTTTATGAAATTTCGGGAGGTTCGCCCCATGATTTGGTGATTTTCATCCACATCCCCCTCAACTTTCACAACCTGGACATCCGGACTGCGGTTGCATTGGCATCTGCATATTGTTTGCACCGGCCCCCTGTTCCTTGGTTGGGAAAATTGAAGCTGGGAACCCCGTTTTTGTTACCCTCAAGAATGTGAGAAAGCCTGTAGATTTTCCCTTCATCCAATTCTGGAAGATGTGGTGGTGTCCGAACATGGAGCTGTTTGAATATGGAAAATGATGCGGTTTGCATCGCTTTACCAAAGGATGGAATGGGACCCACTCAATTTTCAGAGCAATGTAGCTATGGTGGCCCAAGGGTGCTAGCGTTCCCCGAACATGCCAACATCATCTGTGTTGGCTGATCAATCAATCAACATGTTTGCAGATTGGAGGTTCCTTTTTCTAGTTGTTTCAACTGGGTTTAACCCTTGGTTATCCAACCCTAGTTTTTAACTTTGCCCCAGTATTCAACCATCATTTTTGCCACTCGTACTTTTGAGGGACCTGCTGCTGAGCCTCCATCATCCCTGGAGCGTTTTGATGCATCGCATTGTTCTGCGGCATCATCTGCACCTGAACACCCAACAAATGGGTCCCATAAGAAACCCCTAGGTTTTTTTCAACCGTTTGACTGGAAAATCACCATGGTTATATGGTATTGTTATAGGTCAATCATTTTTAAATGGGAGATGTTCTATGGTTTTACCAAAGGATGTGGGAAAAATCATGGGGAATATGATGATCCATCAGTGGATTCTAGGGGTCTGTTCCATGTTGGTTGCTGAATCGGATATCCCGTTTTTGCTGGGCAATTTGAATGATAAATCACTCATCAAAGGAAGTTTCATGGAGGAAACTCCGAGTTACGGATGGGTTTTATTCTCAGTAGCCCCAAGATCGTTGTGTCCAGATGGCGTGTGCCTTAGGAGATCATGAAGTCACATTCTCACTAGCCCAGATCATTGTGTCCAGTTGGCATGTGCCTTCAGAGATCATGAAGTCACATTCTCACTAACCCAGAACGGTACTTGGTCTCCAGTAGTGTCTTGCGATTGTATTGTGTTTTGCAAGTCATTCTGGGCAGATCGCATGGGATCTGCTACATCATGGATGGATTTTGAATGTCAGGATTTGCACGAAACACCGTTTTTTCGGGTAAACGAAGGTTCCGTTGCGCGACGGTCGCTTTGCCGTGGAATCTTGCTCGAAATGCGCGCGCAGTGGAACTGAGGGTTCCAGGTGACTTTTTCTCTTCTTTGCTGCTGCTGTGCTATTGTGCTTTGCATGTGTTGAGACACTTTGTGCATTGGAACTGGTGCATCACAGCGATGTGTTCTACGGTAGTGTGTTGCAATTCTATTGTGTTTGGCAACTCAGTCTCTGCAGAGCGCAGTGGAATGGTTGCGTCAAAAGGGTTTCTCGCTGCTGCAGGTGCGCGCGGTATACTATTGTGTTTGCAGCTGAAAGTCTTAAATCGTAATGTAGTGGCAACATGAAAGTTGCGAATGGTGCTTTGGCAGCAATTTTTTCTTCATTTTGGCGTTGATGATTTTCCTTTTAAATTCCTTCGTCGCGTCGAGATCCGGTTTTGGAGCCGCAATTTGTGTAGCCGTTGCGCGTAATTCTATTGTGTTTTGCAGCTGAGAGTCGTAAATCGTATTGTAGTGGCATCATGAAAGTTGACAATGGTGCTTTGGCAGCAATTTTTTCTTCATTTTGGTGCTGATGATATCTGATAATTTTCCTTTAAATTCCTTTTAAAAAGTGCTGCAAAATCGTCGTTTTTCCGCTTGGGCGTCGAGATCCGGTTTTGGAGCTGCAATTTGCGTAACTGTTGTGCGTAATTCTATCGTGTTTTGCAACTCAGTCTCTGCAGATCGCAGTGGAATGGCTGCGTCAAGGTTCGCTGCTGCGGGTGCATGCGTAATACTTTCCAGCTGAGAGTCGTAAATCGCATTGTAATGGCAGCATGAAAGTTGCGAATGGTGCTTTGGCAGCAATTTTTTCTCATTTTGGTGCTGGTGATTTTCCTTTAAAATTCCTTTTAAAAAGTGCTGCAAAATCGTCGTCTTTCCGCTTGGGCATCGAGATCCGGTTTTGGAGCTGCAGTTTGTGTAGCCGTTGTGCGTGATTCTTGTGTGCTTTGCAACTCAGTCTCTGCAGATCGCCGTGGAATGGCTGCGTCCAGGTTCCTCGCTGCTGCGGCTGCGTGCAGAATACTTTTAATGTCTTTTGCAGCTGGGAATCGTAAATTGTAAAATGTAGTGGCATGAAGGTTGCGAATGGTGCTTTGGCAGCAGATATTTCTCAATTTTGGCGCATCCTGCGTAGCAGCTTCTCTGTGTAAAAGCTTGCTGTGTAAAAGCTTCTCTGTGCAATAGCTTGCTTTGTGTAAAAGCTTCTCCGTGTAAAAGCTTGCTGTGTGTAAAAGCTTCTCTGTGCAAAAGCTTGCTTTGTGTAAAAGCTCCTCCGTGTAAAAGCGTGCTTTGTGCAAAAGCTTCTCCGTGTAAAAGCTTGCTTTGTGTAAAAGCTTCTCTATGTAAAAGCTTGCTGTGTGTAAAAGCTTCTCTGTGCAAAAGTTTGCTCTGTGAAAAAGCTTGCTCTGTGCAAAATCTTCTCTGTGTAAAAAAAATCCTTGGTAAAAGCTTGCTTTGTGTAAAAGCTTCTCTGTGTAAGAGCTTCTCTGTGCAAATGCTTGCGCTGTGAAAAAGCTTGCTCTGTGTAAAAGCTTCTCTGTGTAAAAGCTTCTCTTTGTGTAAGAGCTTAATGTGAAGCTTCTCTGTGTAAAATTTTGCTGTGTGTAAAAGCTTGCTTTGTGTAAAAGCTTCTCGGTGTAAAAGCTTGCTCTGTAAAAAAGCTTGCTCTGTGTAAGAGCTTCTCTGCGTAAAAGCTTCTCCGTGTGAAAGCTTGCTGTGTGTAAAAGCTTCTCTGTGCAGAAGCTTGCTGTGTGTAAAAGCTTGCTGTGTGTAAAAGCTTCTGTGTGTAAAAGTTTCTCTATGTAAGAGCTTGCTGTGTGTAAATGCTCCTCCGTGTAAAAGCTGCTGTGTGTAAGCATCTCTGTGACAGGAGGTGAGAAGAGTTGAGAAGAGCTGGCCAGAGTTGAGAAGGTGAGAAGAGTTTAGATGAGCTGAGAAAGAGGTGGGGGGTGAGAAGAGGTGGGAAGAGTTGAAGAGGTGGCAAGAGGTGAGAAGAGTTGAGACGAGTTGAGAAGAGTTGAGAAGAGTTAAGACGAGGTGGGCAGAGGTGAGAGTCGTTGAGAAGAGTTGAGAAGAGCAGGGAAGAGGTGAAAAGAGTTGAGCTGAGGAGGGAAGAGATGAAACAACTTTGAGAGCTGTTAAAAAGAGTTGCAAAAATTGAGAAGAGCTGAGATGGTCTGAGAAGACTTGAGAAGTGGTGGTCACAATTGAAAAGGGGTGAGGCAAAGTGACGACGAATTCACAGAACAGAGTTGAGAAGCTGTGAGGGTCCGCTGCATGTCCTATAGGCAAACCTTGTCTTTGGATCCTATAGCGTTACACTTCTTAAACCTGGAAACTTCCGCCACCCGCCATGTGCGAGTTCTACTTGTACTTTCAGGTAGATATATGCCGGTATCAGTCATATGAGCTACTACACAATTTATTCCAATACTGGATTCTACTTGTGGCGGTTCACCTAAATATCCCACCTTCGTCATCTTCCTACAAAGTGAGGCTTTTTGTGCATCGAAGTCATGATTTCTCTGCATTTTTTGTGCTGTGATTTTCTTCAATTTGTTTGGAGCTTGCTGGATGTTTTCCTCACCCTTTCCAGGATCAGTGCGTCCTAAGACCTGGTGTCAAGCGACTAGCAGGTCACCCCTCTAACTGGCTTGAGGATCGATAAAGCATAAAGAAACTGTTGGAACCAACAACAGTTGCAAGGCGCATACAATGGCAAATATCAATTATATCGTTTAAGAAAAAGGGAAGGAACACATGTTTGCTGATATAACATTATATCACAACCATCACCTCAACAATCCAAGCTTTCCAGTTAAAAAAGTCGACCTGTTGGTACCATTTTTCCATTTTTCTGGGCTTCAGCCCCCCCAATTTGGCCGGCCAACGTGCCTGCACGATGCTTGGTCCAGGAATGACGTCAGGGCGAGCCAGATTGGCCTCGAACATGGATTTGTTCTGGGATTTTGATGGATCTTTGAGGCATTTTCAGATGGTTTCAGATGGTTTCCTGATATTTCCTCAAACCAATGGAAAACATCATGATTTATTCGAGAATCTGGTTCTGGTTTTCTGGTTTCGAAGTTCTGGTTGCAATTTTGAACACTGAGTTGGGGATGTGAACCAACGGAGCCTACGAGGGTACCGTGGGTCACAGTGAGTAGATGAGTCTTGACCACTGCAGTTAGATTGATTCATGGAGTGTTGTTCGTGAGAATATTGAGGAAACTTGGATAGCGACCAACAAGTTTTTAGGGGAATCAGCACTAATATATCAAGAAAAACAGCAAAAGGTTTGATGTTGTACTACATTGTGAAATCCGACACAACCATCTCAATTTTGACATGTATTTGGCAGAAACATGAAATGGGGACACAACCATCCATTGCCCGTACTCAGTTTTTCAGATCAGAATAGATCAGATAGACATATATATATATATCCATTCAACCATCATACATATAATATAATATAATATAATATAATATAATACAATACAATACAATACAATACAATATAATATAATATAATATAATATAATATAATATAATATATATAATGTAATATAATATAATATAATGTAATATAATATAATATAATATAATATAATAACAGTGTTCCAATCAGAACCATCGAATCCAATTCCCGCCTCCAAAATGCCAGGGCCATTTCTGTGCATCGTGTTGGTGAGATGTGAATGTAGTTGCACCTGGCGATTTGCAGCCGCTTTTCGAATGGCTGATCTCCCGGCGTTTTCCTCTTGTCCTTTTCTTGCTGGGAGCTGGGGACGTTCAAGACCAAGACCCATCACTCGCCCAAAAACGATGATTTAGTTTTGTCATGGTTTGTCCCCATTGGACAAAAAAAAAACCTACCCCTCTAGTGACTGGAAGCCTGGAAATCATTCTCATCTCGGAAAAATGGCTTTATCCAAAAATGCAGGACCCAACCCATAATGGCCAGATGGGAGGGTGATTTTCCAATGATTTGTGGGGCCCATGCCAAATGCCGTCGGCGCCTGCTCCTTCATTGGTTGTGTCGTTGGTGCTGGCGTGGTGGACATGCGACCCCACAAACTGTCCTCGGTAGCAGTTGGCATGTTGGGGCAGTTGAATCATCCAGTCACTCAAAGAAAAAGGTCAAGTGAGGCAACTAATATAGGTTTCTAGTAAATGTGTAGATGTACTGTGTATGTGGATACATTTGGTATGTGTGTGAAATGCATCGAAATGCCACCATCCCAATCCCCGTATCCATTTGGGATTGGGATGGAAACAAAAATCCTTCGAATGACATCAACCTCAATTTTGGCACTGCCCCGATGCTGGCGCAAATGAGAGTCGTCGAAAAAGTCATCATCGTCCTCCTGATCAGCAAGCTTGGACTTGGCTTCAGCACATCCTGAAACTCCATACAGATTTAGGGGTATTGAGGTGTTTTCTTCCTGGTCTGAAGTGTGAATTATGTACCTACCAAAAAAAAACTATAACCTGAACACCCGGGGCACATGTCTTACATACGTTTTGCATGACTTTGTCACAACATTTGAAGTCTGCTTGATATTTTCAACCGACCCTTGAAGTCTTTCTCCACGGGGATCCCCTTCCAGTCCTATTGGGTTGTAAGTATTTTGAGGTCAGCAGCACCATTGAGGTGCTGTAACAATTCATCCACGAGGCAGCAATTCATCATTGCAAATCCCCGTGACTTCTTTGTGAATCTTTCCAAAAATACCCGGTACTCGCCGAGTCTCCTCGGCGTCTTCAGTGATGTCAGCCCATTTGGGATGAGGATCTGGAGTAATACCTTTAGTGAAAGCACCTCAGATTCGAATCGGGAAGCTGGAGCCTGGAAATCATCATCGCTGGAGATGTACACCATAGATTATACATGATGATCTGGCAGGTTTACCGTTTTTTCTATCCATAAAAGTCAGTAAACAAAAAAGGTCTAAATACCAGTCGGACTAAAATCGACGACCAATCGGATTCTAATCAACTAGAAATTGGGTATACCGAATTAATATGGCCACGAACTAATGGGAAAAACAGATTGTCTAAACTAAACCATCGGAATCCCTCAAGAGGGGCACTGAAACATACTGAAACCCTGGGCCCCAAACGCTCTCTACTTTGTTGCGGCAATTGCTGTCCTTAGTCAGCCGTCATTCAAAAAAACCTGGCTGGTGTTCACTTCTCCAAGCTGACAGCTTGAGCAACTGGGAGGTATCGTTCAGTGGTGTTAGGTACAGATATGGCCAATCAGCTCGAGGCATTTGGGGAGCACACAACATCCTCAGAGTCTATGTCTGGGCAACGTGTCATCGCTTCCAAGTTTCCTATTGCTGGAGGCATGGTGATTGCCCTTTCCCACTTTGTGTCAACCTCGTTCAGAAAGTCGTCATCTGAGTCGCCTTCCTCGGGTTTGCAGGAAGCATCACAAAGTGAGACAGACCATTGGTTTCCCAACAATTGCAATATTCTAAGACACATCAAGGCACTTAAAATATGTATTATATACATGTATATACAATATATGCTTAGCATTTTATGTGCACATATAGTTTTAAAATGTTTATTCGAAACATTCGAAACCCTCTGCGCTGTGAAGGACACAAAAATTACTGGTGTTCCCAGTACAAATGCCATGGATGATAATGGCTGCCTGGAAAAGGTCCTAGTCTTCACGCTGCTCATGATTGTCACCCAAATCTGGTGAAGTTGTGAACCAAGATCCCTGAATTGCAGGAAAACGATGCAAAACTTGCAGATGTTGACAGATATTGATACAAGCAACATTCAGATGCATGATTTCCTACATAATATGTTCCCTTCAACAAATCCATGTTGTAGATCTGGGATTTTCGAAGAATAGGGTGCAACCCACATCGTCTTCCCCCCAACCTTCGTTGCACGGGGTCCCATGCCCTCTTTTCTGAACAACCCCAAATGAATTTGGGAAACATATTCAGGAATAGCCCAATACCCCCAATGAAATGCAATTAGTACTCTGTTTTGTCGGTTAAATCATAATGGTTCCCACCATTTCCCAACCAGTCCATGTTTGAAAATTGGGGACCCCTAAATCCACTGAGGTTGCCATTTGGATGCCCCATGTTCGGACTCTCCCGTATGGAAGTTTCCAAAAAAATGGGACCCCCAATCATCCAAAAATCGATCATTCTGTATTGAAACCCATGGTGTTAACTGTGCATCCCCCCATGTACCCACCATGTTGGTCCACATGCCCCAACCTTCCAACGTTTTTCCACGTCAGTCATGCGGCCAGCTCCTCTGCACTGTGGATCGGCTTGCACACATCAAGCGCCTGGATCTCCTCAGGCCAAGTGGAAGCGAAAATGTTGGGCTTTTTGACTTCGGTGTTAAAAAAAATGGATTGAATTAATCACAATTAGTCCTTTTCTCCAATACTAAAGTATATTAAACAGATATTAAACACACCCTTTCTTTGAAGGCCTTGGAAACTTCCTTGTTTTCTGTTGGTTCCCTGGTGCGGCAGCCCACCTTATGGGATCGCAGCTCGCTTTCGAAGTGGGCATGTCGGCAACTGGAACCCATCTGACATCGGCCATACTTGAAGAAGGTGCACCTGCGATTGCTGCGAAGCCAGGAGCCAGGTGGGTATGGGTCAAAATTAGGTACCCCAATAATTGGATGGTTAATACTAAACTAGACTAACATCTGTGGTCCCCTAGGTCTTCCATTTTGACCCACATCCAGGTGTGTAGGATGTTTTTTGGGTCAACGGATGTCAACATGGGTCAACATGGGTCAAGAGCCCGTTGAGCTAAGTTTGTCAAAGTGAAAAGTACACCTGAAGCTACTGAAATCAGGATTTGCCCTCTCAAAATTGGAAATGACCGACTCTTTGCTGTGCTTTTTTCGGAACACCACACCCCATTTTCGGACCACCCGTCATCTTCATGGCTCAAGGATCCCTGTGGATTTCCCTGCCAGGAGACATGGACGTCTTATACACATCTGCTGTACTTCTCAACCTGGGACGATCAAGACGACATGACATGAGGTACTGAAAAACATATATATATATATATATGTATATATATATGTATATATATGTTCTATTTTTTCCTGTAGATGTAGATATATCAGATATGATTGCAGATATGATTGCAGATATGATAGCAGATATGATAGCAGATATGATGGATAGAAACAAACATCATCATCATATTTAAACATTTAGAAAACCACAGAAACATCACATTTTTCTGTGCTAAAAATTACCAGCTGCAGCTGCCCAATCTGCCCAGGAACTCATCTCTGTTGTGGGCGTAGGTGCATTTGGGATCTTTGCACTCCCCACCTGAGCACGGCTCACCATGGAGAGCCAAAACCATGGGAATTACCGGCCCCGGCTGCCATAAAGCCTGCCGAATCCCATCCCTTTCTTGGTGGGTTACAATAAACCAACCAAGATCCAGTTAGTATAACTCCCTATATTGATCCAACAAAGGTATTCTTAATGGCATACCATTGGGGATTTTTTTGCGACGAGACTCCACTGAGCATCTTCCGACATAAGGCTGTCTTGGTGAGATCCGGCTCTTCATGGCGCCTCAGGGTCTACGTTTCGGTGGGGATACGGCGTCAGATGCCAAGAAAATATCAATGCCAGGTGTTTAAAAAAAGAACAATGTAAAAAAATGCGGAAAATGATCATTGACCAAATTGACCCTCAAATTTCAGGGGCCATGAGCCAGGCTCCCTGTCTAACCTGAGGGCCAGGCTCGTTGTCTCCATGCGCATATTTGCAGCCGGCTCCCCGTAGGCATCGACCCTGGGCCAGGCTTGTAATTGTTACTTTGGCCCCGATAGACATAGATACCGATGCAGATATAGACATGGATATAGATATATAGATCATGGATTCATAGATTATGGATGATAGATTTCGGATGTAAGATGTTACAGTAGATGTTGGATGTTAGATGTTATATAGATCACATAGGCTAATGTATACACATGTATACTAACTATACGCACTAACGGTTATATAGACATCTAGACCCGCCTCAAGCCAGAAGGCGCAAATCTTCCTCAGCATCCGGGCTGTGGGAAATCCTGGCTGCCATAAAACTACCATGACTGGGGATGATAGTTTCCGCCCACTTTTTAGTGATTACCTACCATTATGGCATTTGGTGATGGTTTTTTCCGCCCATTTCTGTTGAATTTGGAGGTCATTTATGGCGGGTTTACCACACTATCTGATTTTTGATCTCAAGACATAACAAGACTAGCTGACGAGCTGTTTTCTGCCTGGCATTGGCAGCATTGGCACAGGTCTCGTTTGCATGGCATAGGTTACTGCTGTTTTTGCAGTTCCTCCATCAGAATTCCAACTAGCCGTTGGTAATCGAACATTGCCATGGAGAATGAGCTGTTTGTGGATGATTTATCTGATTTGCTATATTTAATCATTACAAATTGTGTTCCATAGCCATGGATTGCCAGAGGCTAGTCATAGCATTTAACGTGATGGGATGCCCCCCATGTGTCTTTCTTCCAGGGACCCCGTTGCCCGCGTAACTCCGAGCGACGTCTTAAAAAAAAGCCTCGCGCGCTGGGGGCGACTGGGAAAGGAGTGGTTCTTAAACGTTGATCCAAAGTATCCACAGATTCTTGGATGGACAATCGATGGATACTAAAGAAATCCAAACTGGTATTAAAATGTCTTAAACAGATCCAAAGTATCCCAAGGATCAGTGAAAATGACCCGCTTGTTGGCATAAAATGCCCTTCAGACTGTTTGATCCCCCCAGCTTGGGCATTCGTGGCTAGTTGAGACGATTTCCCAAGTGATATCTGGGCCACTTGATGGGTTTCCCCGTGCTACGGATTGCATGTCATTCCACTGGCTATGCCACTCTGACTGTTACAGCTCTCATCTCACTGGTCAAACGTGTTCAGTTCCCAGGCGAATTCTATAGTAAATCCCCAGCTTCTTCATCATGTTTCCGTTGAAAAACCAACCATTCCCAACCATTCCCAGGTTTCTCAACATTAAAAAACCCGTCGTTTCCAATCCCAGCGATTCCCAGTGCCGACGCTGCCGAGGGGCGATTCCGTCCGGTTGGGCTTCGGCTGAGTTCTTGCCGCCACGCCGGCGCGGGAACCCCGTCGGCGCGGGCCTTGGTGGCACCATGGTGGGGACCTGGGATCCTCCAACGTTGGGTAGAAACGGCTTTGACGGACACGACACATATGGCTTGGAACATATGCTACACCCCCAATAGCTACATATATACATATATATATATGTATAATATATATATGTGTATAATATATATATATATGTATAATATATATATATGTATATATATATAATATATATATGTATATATATATATGTACTATATATAATAATATATCATATATACAGTAATAGATATCAGAAGGGAAGTGATGATTGACCAAATCATGGGTACACTATACTCAGACAAACCCACATCGGAGTGGTTAACCATGGCTTTGGCTACAGGTGTTTCCTGCGATTTTCTCCTGCATCTGGTTGTATCCCCAACTTTCAGCTGCTATAGGGGGGGCCATATAAGCTATATATATATGTGTATATATATATATATGATTATATGTATATATATATATACCCAAATCTTATAAACCATGTAGGCCAAACTCTTGACTAGTATCATAAGTACAGTAGTTTGGCTACAGACAGCTGTAGGTCAAAAGTGAACACCAAAACAATTCCCAGGTGAACATCTAGGCTAGATTCAGTCTGGTTGTTTTGAGATGTTCATCAAAGTATCCGGGCTTTGACATATTGACCAATGAGAGTTGGAATAGCGCCAACAGAACCTTTGCGTACAAATCAAACAAGCAAAAAAGAGTGCCCGTCCGCAACGCGGAAATTGAACTGCATGTTGCCGAATTGGCAACAGATGTAATCAAACATGGCAGGCTGGGAAATCTCCTATACATTGTAGTGGGAGATTCATCTACAAATGGAAATGTTCCAGCCATGTTCGATTGCCGGAGGGTATGTTTAGAATCACAATGCAAAAGAGCGTTCCCAGTGGCTTCGCAGCGTTTTCACATGTTCAGTGCAATTTGGAAATTCCAAGTACGTGCTGGTGGACCACAATAGAGATCTTGAATGCATGATTTCTCGTGCTGGCGTCAAAAATTCAAACGAAGATTGACTCGTCGGCATCCAAGGGGAAACCTACTGTTTACCTGGTTCTTGAAGTTGGTGCCAAAAAAAGTCGAAATTCGACCATGTTTCCATGTTTCGTTCCGACATCGTTTTCGGGTTAATTCATGATTCAATCATGAAACATGACCGAAGCGTCACCGTTTCGAACAGAAAAAAACCCGGTGGTGCCATGGATGCCCCAAGATGGCCAAGTCGCGATGTGCTGGCAGCATATTATTCCTGAGTAGGACTGGGCTGTGGCCCATCCCAAGTTGAGAAAAATCCTGGTGGAAAAAATTACATGTCATATTCACCTCCAGTTTTGTATTTATATGTGTTTTATATGTGTTGTATATGTGTTTTATACAATTCCAATGAATCATGTTCCAAACTTTTAGGGGGGTCCACCATGCAATCAATGTTCACGTTGGATTTCAGGTGTAGATCCAATGATTCTAAGCACCTCCGGGACCCCACAACTCAAACTGGTCCGAAGCCCAAAACCCTATGCTTTCCTGGAGGGAACCAGAAGTACGTTAATTATTGTGGATTGCAGCAGATCTGAAAAACGAATTTCCATCTCTCATGACTTTCCCTATCAAAATGTCAAAATAGCGTGCACCCACATCTCATAGTTTCAATTTGTGCCATAATCGCCTTGGTCAGTATTGAAGCCTCCAACAGATCAGGCCAACTTTAGCTGCTTCACCACCCGAAAAAAATACCGGGACCCACCAGAGACACGTCATCACAGGTATCATGTGTGATGCCGCAAAAAGTCACTTGCATCACTTGCAACTGAGCTGCTTATCCATGCCTTTTTCGGTCATTGCACACTAATCGATGAAACTAAGCCACTGGACAGTGTCTGCGGTTGGACGCGCGAAGTCAAGCACCAAGCCGCGACCGCGAATGTCAATACAAAAGCTTTTTTGGGTGAGAGGCATATGCAAAAAAAATGATGCCACTAAGAAATAACCAAATAGACTGACCATGGTCACAATTGGCAAAGTCCTCTGCCATGTTTTTCCATCGCACGTTTTGCCGCAAAACCTGTGACCACCCTTTTTTGATGGTTCTGTGTACGGTACAAATCAGCACAGGCACGCAAGGGCAGCTACACACATATCATATATTTGTAGCATGGAATCATATCATCATATCTGCATAATAATATAGTGCTAATATATATATATAGTTATTTATATGTGCGCATATATATATATGATTCTATGTGTATAGATATATACATACATACATACATACATACGTACGTACGTACGTACGTACATACATACATACATACATACATACATACATACATACATACATACATACATTACATACATACACACACACATATACATATTTATATATATACGTATACATAGATAGATATGTATGCAATGAGATGTATCAATCCACATTTAGAGGTCTTCCCTCTCCCCGCCACCTCGACTTCAGGCGGTCGGAAGCGACCGAACCTGCACCAAGAAACTGGCTTTTTCCTTGGAAAACCATGAGAAAACCAGGGGAAACAACAGGAAAACCAAGGGAAAATCTGCCCGAAACCATCGGAAAACACAGGAAAACCTCACATTTGCTCTTCAAAAGTGGGAAAACCCATGGTTTCCACCGTATGTTTTTGGCTTAAGGCCAATTCAATGATCAGTGGCGATAGACCCATCATGACCCATCTGTTTTTGGTGCTGTGTAATGTTGAGCCGTTCCTAATTGAAAAAGAACATGGATGGCTCCCAAATTCCATTGGAATATGGATTCTGAATGCTTGCTTCGCTGGGTCCACATCCACCAAACCAACTTGCGAATTGTTTCCTGATCCAATCTCTTGGTAACATATGTTTCAAATCCAGGGAAAAAGCTAAGGTAAGGTTGCAGTATCATGTTCTTCTATGTCAGAAAGCAATGGTCAGAACTGCCAGAAAAGCGACCCGCAAGTGGTTTTTCTTGCGTTTTCTTTGACGCAGTGTCTCATCACACCAGAGGCGCATCTTTGCCTAGAGGAAAGTGAAAGTCTCCTTGGAGTAAGTCATTGCTGGGCGAAAAGAATGGACTCATATCTCTGAAAAGAGGGTACAACAAAAGACGATCATCGTTTTTTCTCATTTAGATGATTCAGACTGCAACTTTTGGGTTATGGGTACCTCAATTTTTGCGAAACGATCAGCAGAGTCAATTGAGCGGTCTCAAGTGGCCCATGCAGACTCAACCATAAAGTCTGGATGAAATGACCGCAATTTGTGCCATGCCCATATCATCCCGGCATAACAAAGGCTCGTTGTGGGGATAGTTGCTCTCTAACATATGTTCCTAGCTCATAATTCATCCACCCTTTGCTCAAATTGTCTCCCAATCTGTAGGTTTGTCCAAAAAATAGTGGCAAATGCCGACAAAATATTGCCACCTTGCCGAAAACTGTGAAAAATTATGAGCAACCATGATTCCCATGATCATCCTTTGGAAAACTGAAGATTTTCTTGGTCGAAATGTATCACAACACGAGACCCAGATCTCCCCGGTTTGTTTCCATCATAGCATCTACCAGGATCTCCACCATCTGCCCTTCTTCCAACTGCTGGATCCGCTGCCGCAAGTCTTGCCACAGCCGCACGGCCAGGCCATGCGTGCTGTCGGGTCGCAAGGTCACGGAAAAACTCAGTAGAAACGGCACGGCCAAGGCTGAGCGGCTCAGCCTCGGGTCTTTGAAACCATGGCACAATGGGTTTCATTGGATTTTTTTTGGGGGGGAACATGTTGAACCCGGAGTTTCCATATTGTTTCAAGTTCAGCAGTAAATATGTTCAGGTTCCTTGTTTCATTTCAACCAAGATCAACCAAGATCAAAGATACGCGATGGAGTGTTCCTGAAATCGGTTTGCACAACATGATTGGCGCCTCAATTCAACATTCGTTTCAGATCCATGCATCGAAAATCTGCCAGAAAATGCAGAAATGAACTTTGTCTTGGGCTGTCAGTTGGATTCCCGTTTGACACTGACGAACTCTGAAAAGAAAAAACCAGGCATGATGGATCAACTAATATCAAGAAACATTGCCCCAAGGCAGGCATAATTGTCTGTTCTTGGTGAAGCCCACGGCGCAAACCTCTTGGCTTACAGGTCTCCAACCTAGAGGCACCTTTGAGCATCAGTGGTTTTTACATTTGTTTGATCAGCTGAAGCTATTTTGAGTTTTTTGGGTGGCTGGCCAAGATAGGGGAAGTGTGGATACGAAGCTGTCCATTACTCAAACCCTGTTGAATAAGATGTATAGCTTCACTTTTTTGCTATCCAGTTGCTTGTAGGGTTGTTCACTTTGGCCCTAGCATTGTCAGGATGACACGCTGCGAAGCTACTTAACATACTTCTAGGACCATACCAACTGGCTCAAGAAAAACTAATTGCAGCTGAGCGCGCTGCAGTTTCCCACTTTCATAGCCAGAGAGCCAAAGATTGAACGATGTCATGACATGTCCAACCCCTAGCAATGAGTTCTTGACCATCACTATGGGTACTGTAAATTATTCAGGGTTTGGTGCCTAAATCCATTCCTATTATATTGGCATCATGTTGGTTATGAAAAACCCTCTCCGTGCTTGGTTCTGACCATCCACCGGAAGGTTTCACCTGGTTTCTGGTGCCAGAAGAAAGCGCCCATTTCATGTATAACCATGGCGCCATGCCCAGAACCAATCATCTAAATCAACCATTGCATGAATCATCAGCCATTTCCATCCGTCATGAATCAACCACTTCATTCATATGCCGTTTATATGTCATTCATATTTCATTCATACTTCATCCATGTCCGGATGATTTAAACTCAACCCTTAAATGGATCCATTCATCTTCATTCATCTTACTGGTGCGACTGGGGAATGAGGAAATCTTATCACTATCATGAAAAAAACCATCCCATTCCCATTCACATCCCCTAGTCGCAGCAGTAAGTCATTCTGAATTTGTTCTAACCTTTTTTCTTCCGGGTGCCTGGGTGGTCCTGGATGGTCGCCGTGTCCTCTCTTTGAGGGCGCCGGCGCGTCGCGCATCCCCCCTCTCCGCCAGGACCTCGCTGGACTCGTCGAGTCGCTCGCCTGGGAAAGGAGTAGAGATTGGGGGCTTAAAGGATAGGGAAAATGAGTGAAGATGATGGTTAGTAAATGTTAGTAATGGGTAGTGATAGTTAATGATGGTTTGTGATTGTCAATGATGGTTAATGATGATTAATGCTGCCTAATGCTGGTTAATTGATGGTTTAACGGTTAATTCATGTTACCTTAGCCATAATAATATGATATATTTACCCGTTGGTTGTTGAATTTACAAGGCCCTGGGGTACTCCTTTATCAATCATGAATCAACCAAACGGAAGACCTCCAACAATTGCAGGAGGAGGAGGAGGAAACACCGGGAAACGTGGGAAAATAATGCGGCATCAGGTTGTAACTCATTCAGTCTGATTCCAAACTCCAACCTTTGGACCTCAGCGCCAACTACTCTCACCCAAGAACAACCCCCAAAAAGAACGGAGAACACTGGGCTCATTTGGTTCCAAGTGTCCCTGGATACCCATGTGCTGCTCAACCTTCGGCCGAACGCTTCCAAGTTGTCTCAGACCCCGCGCGCCAAGAAAGGCTAGGAGTTGCTGTCAATTGCCAGGACAGACTAAAGTCAGGTGGACATGGTTTCAAACTGCACCGTTCCCGGAGGTGTTGGCTCAAACACTGCATCAGGCAAAAAGCTGCAAGAAAGAATGTTGACGGTTTGCCACCAATGCCTCGTTTGGTTTTTTAAAAATGAGTTATTATATAGTTCATATGGCAAGTCTTTCCTTGTTCGAATTGTTCGGGCTGTCTTTCGCACGCACAGGCAAGAACGGTGACTTGATTGCACGTGCCTCAAGAAAAAACTTCTGTTCCAATTGTCGTGAAAGCCCCCAGTGGCCGCCAAAGCAAATGGTCTCTAGGCAAGCCGTTCTTGGCAAAGATATTCAGTCTGGACACTGAGCCAAGCTTGCATGTTCAGGAGTTGCTGGCACCAGATCAAAAACTAAACTGAAGTCAGGCGGACATGGATTTAAACTGCACAGTTCCCGGAGGTGTTGGCTCAAACACTGCATCAGGCAAAAAGCTGCAAGAAAGAATGTTGACAGTTTGCCAACAATACCTTGTTTGGTTTTTTAAAAATGAGTTATTATATAGTTCATATGGCGAGTCTTTCTTTGTGCGAACTGTTCGGACTGTCTTTCGCACCCACAGCCAAGAACGGTGACTTGATTGCACGTGCCTCAAGAAAAAACTTCTGTTCCAATTGTCGTGAAAGTCCCCAGTGGCCGCCAAAGCAAATGGTCTCTAGGCAAGCCGTTCTTGGCAAAGATATTCAGTCTGGACACTGAGCCAAGCTTGCATGTTCAGGAGTTGCTGGCACCAGATCAAAAACTAAACTGAAGTCAGGCGGACATGGATTTAAACTGCACAGTTCCCGGAGGTGTTGGCTCAAACACTGCATCAGGCAAAAAGCTGCAAGAAAGAATGTTGACAGTTTGCCAACAATACCTTGTTTGGTTTTTCAAAAATGAGTTATTATATACATAGTTCATATATGTTCATATGGCAAGTCTTTCCTTGTTCGAATTGTTCGGACTGTCTTTCGTACGCACAGGCAAGAACGGTGACTTGATTGCACGTGCCTCAAGAAAAAACTTCTGTTCCAATTGTCGTGCAAGTCCCCAGTGGCCGCCAAAGCAAATGGTCTCTAGGCAAGCCCTTCTTGGGAAAGATATTCATGCTGGACACTGAGTCAAGCTTGCGTGTTCAGGAGTTGCTGGCACCATCTCAAGAACTAAACTGATGTCAGGTGGACATGGTTTCAAACTGTACCGTTCCCGGAGGTGTTGGCTCAAACACTGCATCAAGCAAAAAGCTGCAAGAAAGAATGTTGACGGTTTGCCCACAATGCCTTCTTTGGTTATTGAATAAAAAAATGTATAGTTCATATGGCAACAAGTCTTTCCTTGTTCAAATTGTTCGGACTGTCTTTCGCACCCACAGCCAAGAACGGTGACTTGATTGCACGTGCCTCAAGAAAAAACTTCTGTTCCAATTGTCGTGAAAGTCCCCAGTGGCCGCCAAAGCAAATGGCTTCTAGGCAAGCCCTTCTTGGCAAAGAAACCCATTCTGGACACTGAGCCAAGCTTGCATGTTCAGGAGTTGCTGGCACCACCTTACTCATCACGGTCAATTGCCAGGACAGACTGAAATCAGGCGGACATGGATTCAAACTGCACCGTTCCCGGAGGTGTTGGCTCAAACACTGCATCAGGCAAAAAGCTGCAAGAAAGAATGTTGATGGTTTGCCAACAATGCCTCGTTTGGTTTTTTAAAAATGAGTTATTATATAGTTCATATGGCAAGTCTTTCCTTGTTCGAATTGTTCGGGCTGTCTTTCGCACGCACAGGCAAGAACGGTGACTTGATTGCACGTGCCTCAAGAAAAAACTTCTGTTCCAATTGTTGTGAAAGTCCCCAGTGGCCGCCAAAGCAAATGGCCTCTAGGCAAGCCCTTCTTGGCAAAGAAATTCGTTCTGGACACTGAATCAAGTTTGCATGTTCAGGAGTTGCTGGCACCATATCAAAAACTAAACTGAAGCCAGATTCAAACTGCACCGTTTCCGGAGGTGTTGGCTCCATCACTGCATCAGGCAAAAAAAAACTGCAAGAAAGAATGTTGACGGTTTGCCCACAATGCTATATTTAAAAAAAAAAAACTATTGAAAAACCTATATGGCAAATCTTTCTTTGTGCGAACTGTTCGGACTGTCTATCGCATGCACAGGCAAGAACGGTGACTTGAATGCACGTGCCTCAAGAAAAAACTTCTGTTCCAATTGTTGTGAAAGTCCCCAGTGGCCGCCGAAGCAAATGGCCTCTAGACAAGCCCTTCTTGGCAAAGATACCCATTCTGGACACTGAGCCAAGCTTGCATGTTCAGGAGTTGCTGGCACCACCTTAATCATCACG